CAGAGTTCAGTTTCGTCGACTCCAGTAGTAAATCAATTTCGCCTTGTAGTCTTGTTCTCTGTAGGAGCAAAGTCTTCATACAAATTCAGGAAGACAAGTCGGCGTTGAAACTTTTTGATCAGCAAGCTGTCCAACCGAACAGATTAAGTGGCACTTTCTTTCTAAATCTACATAGGATTGGATACACTGTTTTTCTGATTTTATGCTGAATAAAAGTTATACGAATTCATGAAGATTCTAATATTTACATAGAGGAAAGAAGATGCAGCACTTGTGAAGTGACAAATTGCGTGACTGAGATACATTACCTTAAAGACAGTGTGTGCTGGACATGAAAGAGAATCCAAGAGAGTACTATTTTCATGCACGTTACGGAAAATGTGTTTCTGCCCATCATAAGCAGCTGCAGTAATTTGGCAGGGTGTCACTGTGAAAGGGAACTTTGTAGATATGCACTGAAGATGAGGGAAGGGATTTGAATGCGATGACATGCATAGTGGATGAGCCCTAAACTAACCGTGACTTGTCTGTGATTTGACTTGCCTCATTCATTCATAAAAGCTGACACAAAACAAGTTAAAATAACTAAAAGAAAAATAGCAATTCAACGTTTGGTACTTGCAATAAAGTTTATTTTAGTAACAAAACAATTTTTAACAGTTGAAAAGCAGTAACTATTATTGAGCTACTAGAGGCCGTTAACACGTTTATATCGCTACTCAAAATGCATCTTTCGTTAAAACTTTTTCTTAAGAATCAACTTTTTAGTTCCGATTAATTTCTTCAGAAAATAGCTTAAATGTTTGGTTTGGTTAAAACAGTGAATGTTGCTCTTACCTTTAGCCTATACGAGACCTATACCAAGACGATGTGGCGTTTATTTGAGGGCAGCGTGTATCGGTAATTTGCTTCCATAAGCTGCATTTAATCGAGGGCGGAGTTAAATCAAGTAAATATACGGTATATGAATAAAGTTACTTCCTTGGAGATACTCCTTTAATAGTCGGTAAACAGGAAACCAAACTGTGACACCCAGGGGTATTTTAGTCTGATTTTTGGCAACATAGCTATTCTTACTAACTTGAGTACGCTGATTACGAAAATGATTGTTGCCAAACTCAATTCTCGTGTTAAAGTGAAGTTTAAGGCATTTCTTTATGACGTCATTGTCCTAGTAAGGAAGTTTCTTTCCTTTAACAATTCTAAGTTTAATACAGACAAAAAATCTTTGAAAGCGTTATAAAGTGTATTGTAAAGTTTATTCTAAGAATATCTGACTGATTTTACCCCGCTTACATTGATTAGCCCTAACGTGACACTTGACCACGCCCTCTTATAGAAAAATCACTTTAGCACCGGTATATTTGACATTTTGTTGGAAAACATTTTACTGTAACACTTGGGAGTACAGGTACAAATTATTGTTTATTTAGTACAATGCTGAATCTTAGTAATTTCACAACTCACGTTGTCTTTCTCGGCCCTTAATATGGTGACATATCAAATTAAACAACAGAACATTACTTCTTACTTTCAGGTTTCAATCTGTCTATATGATGGTCAATAATACTGTAAATGTTTTTAATACATCTTCTAATACCGTAAAATTCCGAAAATAAGCCCCTCCAAATATAAGCCCTCCAAACCGGTAACGCCAAAAACCCTCCGTTAAATCGCCCTCCAAATATAAGCCCACCGGGGGCTTGTACTTGGAAAATTGCCTCAAATACGAAGTAGAAAAAAAGCAAAAACGGTAAACTATAAGGCTAGCCCAATCAATTTTGAAACGCAAATTTCCCTCCGAATATGAGCCCCTCCAAAAATAAGCCCCTCAAAAAGGGCTTTTGAAAAATATAAGCCCCGGGGCTTATTATCGGAATTTTACGGTATCTTTAAAAGCACTTAGCTAATATTTCTATTTCTTTAAAAGAATCAGGGCGTTTTAGCAACGGTTTATGCAGCAGTAAGCGTCGTGTTCACTGCATCCACATTGTGCAGTACACACGACGTGCGACTTTCTGCATTTAGAGTGAAGTGCTCCGCAGCCAGTAGTGTACTGGAATGAAACCAAGACCAGACAAGCCTCCGGGATTGAATTGAGGTCAAGACAGAGACCAATAGATATTCAGCTAGCGTGTAGCCGCTGTCTACTCTGGGTTCGGAAGCACTGGTTTCGGAATGTGTACCTGACGCCAAACCGTAGTGTGAAACAGTATAACACTTCAGTTCAACAGGTTCTGTAAATACCGGGACACTTTCGCCTTACACAATATCAGCTAACTGTAGTTCCTGCGGAATGCTTCGGGCCGGGAATAACAAGGGTGGTCAGTTTTTTGGCAGGCCTCAAGCTTGCCAAACGCTTTGTTTTACTTGGGTCTCTTTGCCAAACAGCCGCCTGTGTTGCGCTGAAGGTGTGTTCTTTCCATCTTGTGACAAATCGTTGTTGTCAATGTTATCAGCTGTGAACTTCGTGAAATTGCCTGGGTTTAAATTAGGTGGGGCAATGGTGCCATTTTTCTTATTTATTGCGCTAGTAAGGTGTCCAGCTTGAGGATTTGCCTGTAGCTGAATATGCCCCGCCTTGTGTAACAGATCTACTAACGGCCTTGAACGCATCGCGTGGTAAAGGGTTGTGCCCAGGAACACCTGCTCCATCACTGGCAGCGTACACAACACCCTGTGCGATGGTTAAGACAATAGTCATTAGTGTGATGGTTTTGTGCGTTGCAATTACTATCAACGCTGTCTTAAAGCTTCTAATCCCCGGAAAGAAAGTTTAAAAATATGCTCGTGTACAAGCTGTCTGGCACAGAGCTATCGCTGTCTCTTCGGAATCGTCAAATCCCTGGTGCACTGGGGTATCCATCAGGTCCCTTCTATATTTTAACGCGACCTAAATTGACGACAAGAAATTGTCTCCTTGTGGCTCATTGTGAGGCATTGTGAGCATTTCGTTATCATTAGTGGTGCCATTACTCTGGTAGAAACTGTCTGCAATGATCTCATGGCAATATTTGCGCGAAGTAAGTAATGGTTCTCTCTCTCTTAAACCTCCCGCGTCATAATGAAATGCTCCAAACTCCACCTTAACACAAGAATTGAGCTTGGCACTAATGATTTTCGCAATCAGCGTACTCGAGTTAGTAAGAATAGCCATGTTGCCAAGAATCAGACAAAAATTCCCGTGGGTGTCACAATTGGTTTCCTGTGTACCCATCAGGTATTTTTGGTGTATTCTTGCATTCGTTACGTTCATATTTAGTCGTTAATTTGTCTATTTTGTCTCCACATAACCCGAACCCTTCCGCCATTTTCTTGAGTTTTGCAGTCATGTCAAAACAACTTAGTTACCAGTCAGGTCAATAACCAGAGTTTAATACCATCAACTTAGGTTAGGGGTCGCACTTGAGACAAATATTTGAAATGTCTGAAGATATCGCAGACAATTTTGTCTCAGAACTTGTCCGAGACAATTAAAATGTTGTTGTTTTGCGGTCGCACTGTAGAGACAAACATCAGAGACATCAACGTAAAGTAAACATAAGACCTGTCACTTCTGGCGCTTTTTTATTTTAATTTTACCGCATAAATTATTATTTCCCGCTCAATGTGTAGAATAGAACGACCGCAATGAATCCGCGCCAGTTCGCTCTGTTTCTAGGTTTTTATTTCTATGTTCTCAACGTAAATGCAGCTAACGATGCTCAAAGAGTCATTCTTCTTTCTTCGCTCATACAAATACGAGCACTTCAAGCGCAACTTCTTTTGTGGAACCAACGTCGAAGGAGGCGTCGAGGACGTCGCTTTCCCTGTTTTTGGGTTTTGCCAAGACCACAGCAATCGTGGTTTGACATACACTATTTCGATGCTACAATTCCAGGAGACTATTTCAGGCGTCAGCTCCGCTTAAACAGAAATACGTTCTCGGTGCTATTGAATATTCTTTGCCCGCGCCTGACAAGACAAAACACGCACTTGCGTGACTGTGTGACACCGGAAAAACTTTTGGCATTGGGACTGTATCGCTTGGCGCATGGAAATTCCTACATAACGATAGGCCCAAATTTTAACGTAGGAAAAAGTACAGTTATTGAGGCGGTCCAAGATGTTGTTGAAGCATTATGCGACTTAAGAAATGAGTACATCAAGTTTCCTTCGACAAATAGAGAAGTTCTGGCCACTCGAGAAACTTTTGACGATTTAACGGATCTCCCAAACGTGGTAGGAGCCATCGATGGAACACACGTTAAAATTAAAACTCCCAAGGAAAGCGGACCCGATTATTTTGGTGGATTGCAGCAGCATGATGTTGTTGTCCAAGCGGTAGCTGACGGAGAAAAACGATTTTTGGATGTCGCCGCTGGCTTCCCAGGGAGCATGCACGATTCCAGAGTCTTGAGAAATAGTTCACTTTATCGAAGAATTACCAATAATGAGCTGTTGCTCGGACCAACTGTGAGAGTTGCTGGGAGGGAGATTAGACCCGTTTTGTCAGGCGACAGTGCCTATCCCCTGTCTACGTGGTTATTAAAACCGTACCACGAGGGTACGAATGACCCAGAGGAAATCAACTTTAACAAAGAACTTTCACGTGCAAGGGTATCAGTAGAGTGTGCATTCGGTATACTGAAAGGACGTTGGAGAATTGTCCAGAAACGACTTGATAGTGATATAGCATTTACCAATCAGATCATCATCGCATGTTGTGTGCTCCACAATTTTTGCATTGAAGCCGGAGATTTATGGGATGATGACGATGATGAAGATGGAAATGATGACGATTTTCCTGTCCGAGATGGGAATGCTGATGGCGCGGATTTAAGAGACTTTTTAAAGAATTATCTTTGGAATTTGTAGGAAAGGAAGATTTAAAAAGATTATTGACACAGTGCTGTTTCAGTTAAATGAATTCTTTAATTGTTTAACACTTTCGTATTTCTATGATTCAAAATTATAGATAAGAATATAGCTTATAATTTCAATGAAGAATTTAGCAAAGGAACGAAAAAGTCACCGATACGATACAGCAAAGTTATTGTTGACGATATTAAAAAAAACTTAATCAAGTTCATTTTTTTTTACAAAATCAAAACAGAAAGATTCTAAGTGATTGTTATTACTCAATGACATTTTTCATCAATAGAACTCTTACAGATAGACCAATTTTAAGTGATGTAATGAAACTATAAGGTTCAAAAACAGTAACATTTACAATTTCAATCACATTTCGAATCACTCGACAATATGTAATTGTTTAAATTAAGAGAAAAGGGAACCTCGCAATAATTATTACATCAAAGAGATAATTGTTCTGAATCACTACTTGTCCTTTGATGATTGCATTGCTTGCATAAAATTGTTCATAAATTGATTCATGAGCTGGAGCTGCTGCGCTTGATTTCTTTCCATTGATTCCAGCACCCCAGAAATTTTGTCTCCCTGCTCCTGCAACTTCTTCATACTCTCGCGGAAAAGAGTATCGCCTTCTTCTTGTTCTTTGCGCGGAGCTTTTGCACCTTTGGCGCGCTTTCTTTCGTCGCGTTCACTCTTCCTTTCCTTCTTTCGTTTAAGACCAAAGGCGGCGAGAGACTGTTGGAATTCTTCATCGTCTACAGTTTCATCGTCTTCTGGTCCTCCCTCCTTTCCATTTGAATTAGGGGAACTCGAAGAAGATCCTGGCGCAGATTCTTCAATGTGACTGAATGTCACGATGTCACGACATCCAAGAACGGAGTCGATCTCGTCATAAAATGGCGAGGTTTTTCGTTCGCCCCCAGTCTTGTGACGGTTGTGGTCTTTGGCCTCCTTGTACCTATCTTTAAGGTATTTCATTTTCCGTTGGCATTGGGCACTGGTAACTTTTCGGATCTTCGAAATTTCCTGAGCAATCTCCTCCCAGACTTGTCTCGCGTGCCGCGACTCTAGCCTCGTGTGCTTGTCACACCATAACTGCACAAGAAGCTTCTCCTCTTCTTCTCCCCATTTTCCGTACCCTCTTCCTGCTTTCCCCGAATTGCCAGACTCGGACACCTCTTGGGGTTCTGGTGTTTCAGGTGGCGTGGGAGCTAGAGGCAGTGGTGCAGTGCTAGAGCAGCCTGCTTGTGCCGGTTGAAAGGGCGCCAAAACTGCCGTCGCTGGTGGAAAGGTGTTCTGCGGAATTTGCTGCCTCAAGAACAATTGCCCTGGCCTATAGCGGTCTTGCGCTTCATTTGGGTTCATCATTTGATCAGAATGGATGTCCCAAAAACCGGGAAAATTGTTTCGAAATCCTGGATTCATTATTAGCCGTGAACGATACGAAAGTCACAACAAAAAGTGAAATGTGAAGCGGAAAAAATTTTAAGGTTCACTGAATTGACTGACAGGTTTACTGCAAGAAAAACAATTTTTGTTTGTTGTTCGCAAAAAGTCGTGCTCCGAGGCAGGACGACGGCACTTTTGAAGATTTGTCTCCGTAGACAAGTTTTTGTCTGCGTCGAGACAAGTAGGTCGCACTTGGCGTGGTCAACTGATGACAGGAATTTGACGGATTTTTTGGTTATCAAAACAAACTTGTCTAAGTTTTGTCTCAAGTGCGACCCATGCCTAACTTGATGCCGTTGACTTGACTACTGCGCAGGTTGTCGAAACGTCAGTCACTGACAGCAACAGACCTATTCAGGACTACGTTCACCCAGACGATCTTGCTCAACCTACTTATTACAGTGCGACCAAACGAACCGAGGCCACCCAGACAAAAAAATGAGCCAAATTTTGAAATTAGCCAATCACAAGTCGAGATCTAAAGAAGCCAGTTCAAAATACGTTTCGAACCAGTTTTCCAAAGGATATAAATAAGGAATCATGACGTTGTGTAAATCAAGCTGAAAAATGGTTAATCAAAGCCAGCAGTAAAGAATTTTATTCGAAGGAATTTGGGGTTTTTCTGTTGCGTCAGTCATCTTATTGGACTCCCCTAGGAAACATATTCACTTGAACGATTTCAAAAGGTCATGGTTTTTGATTGGAGGATTTAGATCCGTTTTGTTTGTTTCTATGTTTCATTGGGTTCGTTGCTCAGTTTGGGGCAATCATCGTCTGATCTTCCTTATTTTTGTCACTTGCAAGAATAAAGCAATGCCTGCCTCCTTCCCTCGACAAAAATTCAACTAACAATAGCGATTTCCTTCGCTATTCTGGAGCAGTCTAGAGTCATTCTCAGTTTTGTTTTTGCGGGCTTAGCTGGCGAGTGCGTTGTATTGTAATTTGCATTAACCTGCCCCATATCTTTGTAATCAGCGACACTGCGATTTACTCAGAGCTAGCTGTTGCTATAGACGTATTTCTAATATTAGTCTAAACGGCAATAGCTACTCTTCTAAATTACACTTGCAAAGGGTTTATTGAGTTGATCTTAAACTTTCTTTTCCGTTCCTCTGAACAACAATAAGTGACACCAATGTCATTATGCTACACCATAACACTTTAATTTTCCCAAAGTGTGGTAGCCATATTCGCCAAATCCGGTATGGCCGGTATCTCCAAACCTGAGCTGTTTTACTGGAAGCTTTGTCTTGTCAGTTAGGAGGCCGCTGTCTTCACGCAATACTTTGTCATTCTTATCACAGTTACAGCCATAACGGGAGTCTGCACATGAGTTGGTCATCCCGCACGCGCACTTACCACTGCCAGGTGATGCTCCGCCCCAGTACGCCATCTTAATAGAATCATGTGACACCCACCAACCTATTCCGCCTTTGAACAGCTTTGAATGATAACACTCGTACTTTATAAACTGCTCACAGCATGAGGAGACTCTGGTGAGACTGGCCAGCTGAGAAACACTAACTCCAGAGTAGTGAATGTTCCGTGAGTAGCTGCCTGAAGCTTCATATCCATGCACATATGTCCTGTTCTCACTGTCGTGACTGATGACTGTCACGCCAACTCCATTCTTGTAAGTCATGTCACAGTACACTGAGAATGGCACCAGATCTCCCTCGCCATCTGTATCAATGTAGTAGTTTCCACTTGCCGCTGTAGGGTCTCTCTTCTTTAAATCGCTGCATGATGACGCAACTGCAGAAAGACGGTTCCCAATTATTTTAGATTTTTACAAAATGCATTGCCAAGTGCTTTTAAAATTATTCAATAAGTCCGGTACTCCACATGAGAATTTTTAACTGTCAATCGAACAGGTTTTGACCATCTAAAAAGCTGAAAGGATGGGTAAGTATTCTACGGATACTACATTGTAGACTGGGGAGATACACTATTCGTTGATAATAACTGTGACTATTATCCTCAACGACCATTTCCTTGAAATGGTTAATATTAAGTTTCGATTTTTTTTCATAGCCTTGTGTATGACTGGGTAGGTGCATACAAGATTTAATAACAGCAATGCAATTTACAACAAAATAACAATTATTATTATTATCATTATTACTATTATTATTATTAATTTAGCGACCTTGAAAAAATCGATTTTTGCTGCGATGGAGGAATCCAAGGAATTTCAATTGCATAGAGGAGAAGATTCTCAGGGTAAAAAGATTTCATCAAGGAAAACAAGGTGTGTCTATTCCGTCTACTGTTCTGGGATGCACGCCATTGAGCAATGAGCAAATGGTTTTCAGCGAAACAGAATCAAAGATACACAAAGTTATTCTACGAATTGAATTGTTGCCTTGTTTTTTTTAGGCAAAGTTATGAATCATAAAAGTCAGGGCCACTTTGTTTCCACCCACGAGTATAAACTGTGTTGAGTTTTTGTTCAATAGACTCAATATTGATTTTGTTTTCAAAGGCTTAAATTTTTTTGGTTTGAAGTGAACATTTAGGCTTTCACGGGAACTATGGTTTGTTTAGGCTTGGATAAAAATTTTGTGTATATTTTTTGTGAAACACAATGCACATGGCAAATGCGATTTTCCTTTCAACGGTAAATTATTAGTTTTGGACTGAACTTCTTTTAGTATAAAATCGTCTCGGAACTATTTACGAGACCTACCCCGTTCGCAATTTTCTCCACTCCATGGCAGCTTGCAAGAGCAGGAAAAACTGTCTTTCCCTTCATTAAAAGAACAAGAGCCTCCATTAAGGCATCCGGTCATAAGACAGCCCTGAAAAAAGGTTAAGTATCAGCACAAACATACTAAGGTATATATAGTCTATAAATATATTTTTTTAAAAACTGAATCATTGAATTCTATTCTAGCGTTTTAATTGGCTTAGCCATCATGGTATATGAGCCATTACATCATGCTCTTCATATATGGTCAGTGTACGCGTCAGTTCAAAATTGGAAGAGCTAGCTGAGATTCTTTTCGCGAAGGATAGAATGGCGCCCGAAGAAGATCGTTTTCATTCGCAGAATACTAGGAAATGCAATTTCATCGGGAAAAAAAAAAGCCACAAGAGTTTGTTTGAAAGTGTATCGAGAAACACATGAAAATACATGAAACTAAAATTCGTCGTCCAGGTACGAAAGAAGGCAAGTATTGTTTCTTCATGATCGCGAAGCCACTCGCCGATAGATAATTGCAGCCTGTTCATCCGACATAAGAATATAAATCACAAGCAACTAGCTACAAATACGGGCTATGCAGCCATTCACTACGGCAATCCAGGCGTCGGTATAGGACATGACAGGGCGACCGAGGGAATAGTTTTCCTCCATTGGTCTTACTTTGTAACTGCACCAAAAATCCAAATTCACAGTAATGTCGACGGCTGCACTTAAAAATTATATTTGTTCTCATCATCTGCGAGTTTTTTAGCTGTCCTGTTGTGTAATATCCTAGAATCCCGATGAGTTTTTAAAAGTGTTCATCTCCATAATGTTTTGATTGTTCATTCATCCAGTCCGTTCGCGCGTTGACAGTTTTGATAGACGTGTGACATGTAAAAAGCGGAAGTCCCTTGTCTTTTCCGGTTTGTTCTAACAAAATAAAGTCGGGTAGACTCATCGGGATTTTGTGGGCGTTTTTAATAAAACAATTATTCCACTCGTGCTTGTTGGATATGACATGATTATAGCCAACGAGGCGCGTAGCGTTGAGTTGGCTATCTACCATCTCATATCCAACGCGCACCCGTGGAATTATAGTTACATATATGAATCATTTATTGTCAGTTAATTTCTTATTCCTTTTAAAACTTCAACATCCCACAGATGGTTTACACAGCTTAAATATGCCATTCTAATAGAAAGTAGCACGTGTTTTAATGTGACTTAATGTGTTTTAATGTAATGTGTTTTCCATTGCCGATCAAGGGTTCAACCTAGAGATGGAAACTGAGTGATCTTCACACGGAAACAGAAAAAAAAACCTTCTATCTCAAGCTGGGGGGAATACTCCCCACAATGGGCTATATAGAGTCAGGCTCCGCCCGAAAGCCGGGGTATTAGTACCGTTTCAGAATTAAGAGGTATATAAGAGGCTGTCTCAGTAAAAACCGCCCACTCAATTTCGCGTGAAAAATAATTTTGCCTGAAACTCTGCCGAGTGAAAGGCTTTATCGAGACTATAACTAAAATAGGTTTGCTTTGATTCTCAATAATTTTCTGGCCGTGCTGGGGGGCGCCGAGTATTTTGTCCCGCCACAGCTATTTTGCACGTCTTGAAAACTGAAAATTTGGCATTTTTTGCGGCGCTGTAAAATGTTTGATTTGCACCATCTACCAATGAATTTTATACCTATTTATAGGTAAACATCTCTAGTTTTTCCTGAAAGTAACAGTTATCCGCTTATTTAGCTGGAAAGACGAAATCAAGCAAAATATGACCTTAACTAATTGCCTTGGAGCGAAAGGCCAAAAATAACCCTGTTTTAAAAGCTTTTTTCTGACGTTTGGGACATAGTTGAAAGCTCTACACTAAAAAGACGCAAAGATAGACCATCTGTTATTAATAATATACAAAACCCCATGTACGTTTTCAGTATTTTAAAAGTTATGACCGTTTGTATCAACGCGTATGCGAGCTAACACGATATTTTCAGATTTAGCATAACGGATCTATTTCAAGCAGATTTTGTCAAAAATACGGCTTACCTGACTCATTACTGGGATCTCTCAGGGATTGGAATATGGCTCAGTTTGTGAGTCAGTGCCAGTGTCAGTGCTGCATTTAAAGCATCAGTTGTTACGCGCTTTTGATCATATTTGCTTGGAAAAGGTGCGTTATAAATTTTTAATTGATACTATTATTACCGCAAATGATCGATTAAGCGCCGCGGCGCTTATTTCATTTCATATACAAGAGCGGTGCTTATTCGAGAGCAGCGCTTATTTTAACTACGGGCAAAAAACTGAGGGGAATATAGAGAGAATAAAGTGAAAATATGTACTTCTCGAACTGTTATATGAACCCGGTTTCGAGAGTTTCCCTACATTACAACTTCAGAACTCACGAGTTGCTCAAGGTATTATCTCTCAAGCGATATGGTTTTGATCTCTTTATATCAAGCGTCTTCACAAAGGTGGGGCGTTAATTTGTAAATACCCAAATTAGCACCGCGGCGCTTCATAACTTATTTTCGGTAAAGGGGCGGTGCTTACTCGAGTAGCAGCGCTTAATCGATCATTTACGTAATTCATATTCGGGTGTGGCCGAACGCTGCCATAAACGCCGCTTTCTAACCCTGATAAGCTCTCTTATCGCCAGTAAATACGGGAAAGAAGACTCTCCTTGATTGACTTCACAAATTTACTAGAAGCATTGGTTTTAAGTGATATATTTCCGTAAATTCATGAGCTCTGGAATAAGTTCTCTCTTGTAATAATCGCTCTACTTGTTATTCACGATTTAAAGGGACAGGTTCACGGTTAAGCGCATGCTCATTAATTAAATTACTTTTTTCCTATTTATTATTAATTCATGTCGGTTAATAATACCGTGTTAATAATAGAGTGTATTTCAAAGTAGAAGTGTATTTCAGAGTAACCTAAAGTGGGACGGAGGAGTACTAAAATCGCAGAAAAAATTAGTGGATAATGCCAACACTACCAACGTTGAATTTATTGTTGACCTGGGCTTATTCCATGGTTGATTAATTTACAGCTATTTGCAAATATTTAAGTTGATCAAGTGCAAGTGACTGCCAGGGGAGTGTGCAGATTGGTTCTTTGACATTATGACATGATCATGTTACTTGCATAGACGATACAGCGTGCCCCGGTAGAAAAACAGCATTTTGACAAATGAGCATGAGCTGAAACGTGAACCCGTCCCTTTAATTTCCTCAGTATCTCTCTGTGATCAACAACAGTTTCGTATTTTCGTGGACTACAATATCTAACATTTCTGCATATTTCAAATGCATTGTTAGTTACTGCTGTTCACATGAAAATGAAACTTGGAGATGAGAGGCTCTCACTTGTAAACACGAAATAGTTTTAAGAAATCAATCAAGACCTTTCTTTTTAACGAATCACTTTAAACTTTATTTTTTTACTTTTTCTCTATTCAATATTGTATTTAATTTTAAATAAATTTTTGTACAGCTTTTTTGATCACAACTGGAAAGAGCGCCATAGAAATTTTTAATTTATTTATTATTATTTATTTATAATTTCTGGCAAAAATTCGCGAATTGTAGCGGAGCTCCTTGCGCGCGCGAGCGGAGCACCATAACTAAGATAATTTGGTAAACTATCCATCCGAGAAATTTTGGTTATGAAGTCAGCGTACGTCCGTCCGTAAGGACTTTCCGGGTAGTGGAAAGTAGTCTGCATGGACTCTTGGGGTAGGGGAAAGTAGAGATTTTTTGGCGGGAAATCGCATGGCGCGTTGAACGTCGCGCAATTATATCGCGCAACTGGTTTTGAAAAACGAAATTTCAAAGCAACTTAGCAAAAAGATTTTTCGACAGAGCCTTTTTAACTTTCTATTACAACTTACGAAAGCCATTATGTCAACCGAACAAAAGCAGAGAGATTTTAGCGTGTAGAGACGACAGGTTTTAAGCAGAGAGCAAAGAGAAGGTGAACGACAGAGAGCAAGAGTCGACACGCGTCGAGCAAGCGAAGGCGATCGCCAAAGAGAGTGCGTTGTAGAAGAAGAAGACAAAATTTTAGCGAAGAAAGTCGTCGGCAAGAAGAAAGAGTCAGGGCGAGAAGAAGGAGAGAAAATTATAGTGAAAAACGCCGGCAAGCAGAACGAGACAGAGCTAGAATGAATAGACAAAGGCAACGCGAAAGAGAAATACAAAGGCAAAGAGAACGGCAGCAAAATAATGACATGATGACAGAAAGTGTTGTGTCACTATGGCCCCGCGCTATTAACATTTTGATTTCAAATTGATCTCGGACACGAAAATTCAGCCAGTCATTTAAAAATACAAGCAGGGAAGACAGAGGCTTTTCACTTTTCTCACCATAGTCACGCGTTGATCACGCTCTACGACCGTCCAATTTTTATGCTCTGATTGGTCAAAATTTGACAGGTGAGTTCATGCAGAAAATTCATACAGCATCTTGAAACTTGTTTACTTTGACAGCTGAAGCTGACAGAGTTTTTTGTCAATTTGTGATGTTTTTTACTGTCTTTTTCCACTGGATGCGTAAAATGAAATACAACTGCTATCAACAGTCTTCTGTTATTCATGGCTGGTTTGTTTATTGAATTTTGTCTTCTGTTATTCATGGCTGGTTTGTTTATTGAATTTTTGGTTGAGAAATGCGCCGCATTTCAAAGTTGAAAATCCGGTTTCGGATGACATCGTTTTCGTCTTTCACCTTCCTGGATGCGGGTTGAAAAGTCCTTCAATAGCTGATAGTTTTCAGGGCCTGCATCTTGAATGGTAGGCCTGAGTAATTATTGTATAAATTGTATGTGTTTGGTTTTTTTTTATATCTTATTTCATGTAGTCGAGCGCAGGTTATGAGGCTAGTTTATGCACGTTTGTATTACATGTAAGATCTGAGACAATGATCTGATCTAGTATGAGGTTTGATATAAGCTTACAGAGCTTTAAAAAGCCCTTAGTCGATATTTTCTCTCCGCAAATAGAAAGAAAAAACGTTCCGAAGAGTATTTAGTTATAATTTTGGCTGTAGAAAGAAAGCTTTGAGCGATTTTCTTGCCTCGAGTTCATCTTTGAAAACGGTAAACACCAGGAAGCCTGCTAAAAGCTTTAAGCTTAAGCTTAAAGACTCAGGATTTTTAGAGACGCTTTAATACTTGTCTTCGTGAATGAAAATTGTTGTCTCTGTAAATGTTTCACCGAATTACATTTCTTTTATTGATTGTTAGTAGTCTCTTGCAATTTTAATCGCTTTTCCGTTTGTTTTCAGTCGTTCATAAACATCGCTTGCAGGAGTACTCAAAAAGCCGCGCGTATCAAACGCTTTTTAAGATTACACATCGTTATAAAACCATTAAATAAAAAAAAATAAACACAGTAAATTCTTTATTATGTTGAAGCGTAACTCTCTTAATGTTCACTGAAAATTTGACGCTTGTCAAAAGTGAGAACCAGCTCGCCGTATAGTTGATTTTGGAAATTTTTTAAACGGTTTTGCTAAAATCCCACGCGTGCTTCTGAATATTGAATGGGTGCAATTTGTCTTGAAAAATTGTGAAATGCAGCATTTTGTCCGAGGTCTGTATGATAAAAACAGCGCCTCATATTACTGTTTCACCTCAGATGTGATGTATAAAAAGTATGAAATGTTGGTTTACACTCACCCGGAGTTGTTGACAAGATTTTGTTGAGTAAACTTGTCGAACGCAAAAATTCGGCCTGATTTGTTTTCCAAGAATTCGTTTTCCAGGCCTAATCTACTGTGATCATTGCTATTTTTGGGGTGTATATATACGCCTATCAATTCGATGTAAGATTCTTTTTCCCTCTAAAATCACTTAGCCTTAGCTTTCCCTAAAAAGTCACAGATGTGCCCTTAAGTTGACTGATTTATGGATTACAAGTTTATTGTTTCATTTACATCATAAATTTATTAATGGAAGCTTCGCTTTTAGCCCTGGCTAAATCTATATATTAGACCTTATTTCACTGCTCTACAATATACCAATAATCGTGAAACTCAAAGGTCATATAAGACGATGGCCGGTTAATCTCGAGAATCTCCAATTTCTTTAAAAAAATCTATCCAGTAGTTTAAAATTATTCGCTAATTTGTTTAAGTAGACCAAAGTGTTTACAATACCGCTAACAAGAGCGCCTCGATACATACCAATCAAATCGTTCTTTCTGACAATCGGCTAGAGTTATTTCCATGATCTTTGACACATCGTTTTTGAAAAGATTGAAACTACTATGAGGTGAAATTGCATTTCCAAAGCCCTTCTTTTTTTATAGATAAGATTGTCAAGATTGTCCCGTTTTTAGCGTATTTCTAACCGTAAAAACTTCATCCCAAAATATTTCAATAAAGCTTTTTCACTTTTCGCTTAAAGTTCACGAACATCGAGGCGGCTATTGAAGGGAAAGGGTCCTGTGAACGATTTTGAAAGAAGAGTTCTCAGTATCGAGAAATACGGCAGCAAGTAAGAGAGTAATAGCATCATTTCGTTGCTATGACAACTTCTATGTCCATAACAATTTTTCAACTTTATCCAGTGCAGCAGTGGTGGTAACTTTTCCAAACGTTTATGAGCTTTCTTACCTTAAGAAACATTGTGAAAGTAGTGCCTGATTCATCAGTGAGCTTGATATCATCGTTTATTGACGAGAACTTGTGTTTGTTCTGCTCGCAGTTTCCTTCACTACTCCTCTTAAGGAAGTCATAATTAGTAGAGGTACACCACGACTGCCTTAAGCACGCCTGGCTGCAGGACATCAAACTAGATGAACCAACTGTTTTGACTGTCCGGTTAGTTATACGCTTATTCTCTTTAACTATGGAATAAGCAGATTTGACGTTTTCCTCGATTGCAAAAACCATAGGGGCGATAATAAACAAAACCTGAAGCGTGTAGCTCATTTTCTCCGGCTCTTCTACCTTTAGGAGCGTGATCTTCATCTGCGGAGCCTGTTTGAATGCTAAGATGTTCTAAATTAATTATTAATTATATTTAATAGCGTTTCTAAATTGGGGCACATGAGCTGAGTAGCAATTAGTATTAGTTAACTTAAATTCGCGTAAATGACTGGCTCTACTGCCAACATGGCGCAGGTGATTCGATCGTAATGATCGAATACAACACAATGCAATATATTACCTCTCCCGAAGGGATTCTAACAACAACATTTGCATTTCTCTTATCTTTTAAAGTTACATTGTATATATATTTTTATTATTTATATTTACGTATTTTAGTTAATTTTTAAGATAACCAAAAAATAAGTATTGATGAAGGAAATACATAGAGCCTAACTGAACCGCGAGGTTTTCGAGTTAATCTCTATACATTTAATTTATATATTTGAAATGTAGCTTAATTCACAAACAGAAAATACATGAAAGACAAAAACATAAGAAATGAAAATAAATATAATAGATGAGCATAAGCTAAAGTATAGCAGGAATGGCTTACTAAAAAAAACAAAAAAAGAGAGCATAGCATTAAGCATAGAGCATACACACACAAGAATCGAAGAAAGAGGTGGCTAATTGGTGTTAGATGTCAGAAGAAGAATTTTGCTTAATTACAAGTATTGTTTCACCCTTTTGCTAAAAAGAGAAGTGCTTAAAGGTTTAAAGTCAGGGGTTAGTTCCTGCCGGAGGTCTACTGCCGTTGCAGATATCGCTTGTTTGCCAGTATTTGTTCTAAAACGAGTCATATATAGATTGTCTTTTGAAGTGTATCTTGTGTTATGTGAGTGGATGTTTTTGGCATAATGAGAGCAACTGTTAAAGATTGATAAGAGCTCTTGTTTATGCCATTTGCGGATACATCTCAATGCTTGAAGTTCATATATATGATTAACAGTTAGAATGCTAAGAAGATTTATTAATGGCAAGGGACTTTCTGCATTTTTCCTATACAGAGTAGAAAAAAATAGTATCCTTACAATGTGGTTTTGTTTGATTTGAAGAACTTTTATATTGGACCAGAAACTCATAAGGGGTTGAAACGTGTAACTCTCATATATTCGCTTTGTCATGCAGATGCTCGTGAGTATTCATTTTCGAAAGTACCATATTTGGAACGACAAGAAAAGATAACAAGCCAATCAAACTTTGTAAACGACCGTGACGTAATTTCACTTCACGTTCCCGCGCCCCCTTAGAAAATGGCCGACAAAAGGGGGAAAACTCCCCAAAGCCGAGTAAGCTTTCAAAGGTTGAAACCAGGAAGCTTACCAAAATACTGAGCAGGAAATTGGCTTTCCACCCGGACCAAACGTAACATTAAGAAATCCATTGACGACCGCGCGACTTCTTGAAGTTGTTACTTCAAAAAACGATACCTCGGTGACTCTCTGCGCAGTATTAAAACTTGTACTGCAAATAGGCTTTCAAACTTCTCATATTAAAAGTCTACAATAAACAGTAAAACATATTTTCGAATAAAATTCATTAGCTGCGTATCGAAAAGTATCTTAAAACTGAACCTAACATCTTCGCAAAAGTGATGTGTTTAATGAATGTGAGAAGCATTAAACTTTAATTCAGCTAGCTTGGATGCTGTAGCTGTAGTATCGCGATCGTGTTTTGAGCTAATTTTATGAATGAGCAAACTCAAAACAATACACAGAGAAGCCGTTTCTTGAAAATTTTTATTCAAAATCCAAAAAGTCAATCCTTTAAACCAATTCGCATAACACTACCTGGATCGTGGATCCGACACCCAAGTACAATCGGCTGAACGCATGGCAAATTCAACACAAAATCCATCTCAAACTGTAATTTTTCTTTAGCGCCGAAGAGAAAAATGTATAAAACGTCTATGAAAAATTTAAGAACACATAAATTACCTTTCAAAAACGTAATTTTCTTGGCCATAGAGTGCAAAATGCACCCGAAAATTCAGCAAAAACTTTGCTACCTTAGTTGCATTTCAAAACAGACCATGCGCTCCGCCGTAAAGAAAACAAGGTTGAATTCCTCGATGAACGGTCTCTTGATGAAAAGCTTCCCTTCCTCCGCAAAAAGAAAACTGAGCATTCTTTTGAACTTTCTCCTTCTATTTTTTGTCTTTTAACGGTGTATTTTTAACCTTGAAATGCAGAACTCTAGTCTTTACACCACCGCATGGTGATCGCGCGGCAGCCATTTTGTTGAAAATGGAAAAAATCTTTCACTAAGGTTTCCAAATATGGTAAAAGTGAATATTCACGAGGATTGAACGCGAGTTACACGTTCCAACCGCTTATGGGTTTCTGATTGGACTAATAGGCACTGCTTCAAGCAACAATGGCAAAGGAGAGATGGCGACAGATTAAGTTCTAAGTAGATTTGTCTGAGTTGAGATGGAGAGAAGTAATGACGAAGCTTAAAAAATATTCCACTATTTCTAGATATACGTGAGCAAAAAATGTTTCTCTTATTTTCATTAATGTTTTGCCCTGTCCTTGTTGAATGAAATTCGTCCCTCATTGTATATTAAAAGAAAGCACATGTGGGCTTCTTGTAACAATAACGCACTGCTAAACTTGAATAAATGTCAACTTGTAAGGCGTGTTCAAGATTTTCTGAAAGGTTGAATTGTATTGTAATCGGTAAATGTATGCATGCTTCAGTCGTCAAACCTTTATTCAAGGTCGCTAAAAGGGTCATTTGGGGAATTTCGATAGTTACATTTGGTTATTTTTCTTATATTTTAAAGACCAAATTGCCTATTTCAATACCGTAAAATTCCGAAAATTAGCCCCAGGGCTTATATTTTTCAAAGCCCTTTTTGAGGGGTTTATTTTTGGAGGGGCTTATCTACAGAGGGAAATAAATTTGCGTTTCAAAATCGATTGGGCTACCTTCTTCGTACTTAATTTCGCGATTTTCGCGATTGTAAAAAAATCGCGAAATTAAAGCCTCGCGAATAAAAATCCTCGCGAAATTAAATACCATGGTAAGAAATTTGAATCACAAAAAACTTGATAAACATGATCAACAACGACATGTACAGCTTATGTATCGACATAAATAACAAATTTTTCCCTGGTAAGCTCCATTTTGCATCTTGTCAAGTGTGATCAATAAAGGTAATTTGCAAAGATTTCACATGAATATATCCAGCAGAAAATCTAACTACTCATCTTCATCTGAAGATGATTTGATTGTTAATAGAGAAGCAAAAAAGTTTATGAAAGACCAATTCACGTCTTGGTACTCGGCGCAAATTCAAAGTCATTTAGATTCAGGAGTGGTCCTCGATGATGTTGATGTTGACCTGCGACTCTCCGTTCTCAAACCAATTCATGCAACTTGGATCGTTAGCATGTACAACCATTTGTCTAGCTCTGATATGAAGGCAGACAGTCAATTGCAAAAGGATGGAAGAAGGATGGAGTAACTGATGTTGTGGCTCAAAGAAAATTCCACCGGAAGATCCCTTTGACCTGGATGTTTAGGAACATTGCGGACTCTAGGACCATTTGTACCTAATCTTAACTTGTTCCAGTTTGTTTAGAAAGGTTGTAGTTCAGCCTTTTTTTTAAAAAAATTAAATGACGTTGACAACGCTTTCGCGAAATTTAATGATTTTTTATCATTTTCCCCCATCGAAAGCGCGAAATTAAGTACGAATAAGGTAGCCTTATAGTTGGAAATTTACCGTTTTGCTTTGTTCTACTTTGTATTTGAGGGCAATTTTCAAGTACAAGCCCCCGGGGGCTTATATTTGGAGAGGCGATTTAACGAAGGGTTTTTTGCGTTACGAGTTTGGGGGCTCACACATGGAGGGGCTTTTTTTCGGAATTTTACGGTATTCCCGGATAAACGTTATTACGTTGCTGTATGACACGAATGCTCCATTATTTTGTCTTATCTAGTCTTGACTTCTCCTTTAATTTGAACAAGTTGATGACTCCTAGGGGATGAAACCACCTTACCTTGTTTGTCGCTGTTAAGAAAGATCAACTGTAAGCCCTTGAAAAACTTTTTTTAATATTCATGTTAATCATTTCAAAAAACTCTTTAGAAACACAATCGAGTGTGTAGTGATGGCCCCCTTTCTGTGGCAACCTTTCATCCCGGAGGACAATTTTACTCTTTTTTGAACCTCTCTACAACATTCACCTTCCTTAGTCACCAAAGAAATCTGGGGAGGTTCGACTGTAGAGCATTAACGTTTTAGAGTGGTAATAATTGCATCAAACAAAGTCAAAACTAAGCGACGATATACTGGCACTTAAAGAAGTATGAAACAACATAATTATAAACTAAGGCCACGTTTTTCTAACTGTATTTCTATTTAAGGTCATGTTCATAATCATTTTCTCCTATTCTTGTTGAAATAAATTTCTTTGAAAAGAAAGTACATGTTGATTGCTTGTAACAATCACGCACCGCTAAACTTGAATAACTGCTTAACATGTCAACTTGTAAGGCGTATTCAAGGTTTCTTGAAACTGTGTTGTAATTGTTTAAAGGCGTGCATGTTTCAGTCGTTAAAAGTGATTTATACAAGCCTTCACACAAAGGCCTTCAAGTTCATTTGCCTGTAGGGTCACGCGAAGTTTAATTTAGGGAATTTTGAAGGTCAGTTCAACTTTTCTTTTTGTTTTTTATTATTGTTGTTTTATTTTAAAACCCGAATCGTCTATTTCAGCGTGCCTGCATAAAAGTTATTTTGTTGCTTGGTGATATTAATGCTCCGTTATTATTATTATTATTATTATTATTATTATTATTATTATTATTATTGTTATTATTTTTTTTATCTCGTCTTGATTTCTCGTTTGATTTGAACCATTTGATGACTCCTAGAAGAAATACCCACTTCACCACGCTTTTTGCTAAAGTTTAACTTAAACGTCTTGAACCCTCTTTCCTTTTGATTTTTTTTATTTAATTGTTTTTGTCTTTTTTATATTTTTTAAGTTATGGCTTTTTTTTGATGATACTCATCTCCCAAAATG